GAATGGAACCATTGATAAACGTGTGGCCAGGTTAAGGGAAAGCAGCGAGGTGGGGAACGCAGCCCTGGACCGGCAGCAGGGGGGATCTATGAAGGGCAAGCAGGGAGAAGTTACTAACACTCAGGGGGCTGCCACTGCAGCTTCCGCAGCACAGGCCTGCAGAGTGGTGGCCTTTGTGGAAGACGGCAGCCACTGCCTGCATATGGCCTGGCAGGGAGGTGGAGGGTGTGATGCCCTGAACTCTGTCCTCATTCCCTCCTATCCCTTATAAGAACCTTCCATTGGTCAGACCAACCAGAAGCCAAAGGATAAAGAGCCCATTGGATGTAGTGCATTACAGAACTGCCTCCCAGGTCACAGACCCCAGTAAGGGTGTTCGGGCAGTGTGGTAATGGCTTGAAGTAGTTGCTGAAATAATCAAAGAGAGCAAGTAAAGTTTTAGTAAGAAGACGAAGATTTTATTAATAATAGTTTGTTGACTGGGCACAGTGCCTCATGCCTATAATCCGAACACTTTAGAAGGAGGCTGAGGCAGGTGGATTGCTTGAGCTCAGGAGATCAAGACCAGCCTGAGCAAGAATGAGACATTGTCTCTACTAAAAGTAGAAAAATTATCCAGGTATGGTGGCGGGCACCTATAGTCCCAACTACTTGGGAGGCTGAGGTGAGAGGATCACATGAGCCCAGGAGTTCGAGGTTGCTGTGAGCTGTGACAGCACAGCACTTGAGCCTGGGACAACACAGTGAGACTCTGTTTCAAAAAAATAAAAAGAAGCTTGGGCCCATGGCACAGTGGTTATGGTGCCAGCCACATACACTGATGCTGGCCAGCTAAACAATGATGACAACTGCAACAAAAAGTAGCCAGGCCTTATGGCGGGTGCCTATTGTCCCAGCTACTTGGGAGGCTGAGGCAAGAGAATCGTTTAGAGAGTGACAGAGTAAGACTCTGCCCCCCCCCCATAAATGAATAAATAAATAAATAAGAAAAGAAAAAGAAAAACTATTAACTTCTATAGCAAAGCAGGGCTAATGGTAGTGACTGCAGGCATCATAGAGATCTCAATGCTTGGATTCTGTACACAACTTTTGAGGAGTATCAGTTGTTTCTTAGAAGTTTCCCAAGGTCCTAATTAGGCTGTTCCCAAAACAACCCAAGTCAGTTTGATGTATGACTACATCTGTCTATGTCAGAAAGTCCCTGGGACATCGATTAGCCACTGTTTCGAGGCAACCCACTTGCAGGGTCTCAATTAGCCCCATTCCCATGGCAACTCAGACCAGCCTGACTCATGCCAGTCCCAAACAGCCAAAATAGCCTAACTGTATCTGCCACTCTCCTCCCTGATGTCTAACTGCCAAATCTAACAAAGGCTAGACCTGGGGGGCAAAGGGGACATACCACATTAGTGACTGTCACCCCAAGGGCAGACTCAGGTACTGTTGTTTCTGGGTTGTGCTCCCACGTTCTGGAAATGAATCCTCAGTGAGAGGAATGATGATACTTAGTAAAAATCATCTCTATCTGGAGAAATGAATCAGAAACTTACAGCTAAAACGATCAACCTTTCCCTTTCCCGTGACTTTGTGTCTTAGGAAGTAGAGCCGCAGCTTTTGTGTGACATCAGAACACAACAAACATCTGGAAATGAGAGTCTTCTTGGAGAAACACTTTAAAATAATGATGTGCTTAATTGAATCACATGAACAAGACTGGTTTCATTAGCTAAAAGTATGGTGATGCCAGAAGCATGCAGTGTAAATCACAAGCATTAATATCTGCCCTTGTGTAAACAAGCTGTTTCTAATTATTTATATTTGTTCATACTTCATTAATTTTATCCATAAGAGCTGTAAGTGCTAAAGCTTAGGTAAGACAGATGAGGAGAAAATTACATAAATTGGGAAAAGACTGTCATTATTCTGTTTACTTCTGTCAGAGGGTAGTTGGAAAGTCCCCAGAATAGAGGAAAAGTCACTTTCTTATCTAAACTCTTAATGGGAGAAACAGGAAAAAGCAAAATTATACACACACGCTATTTAAGCATATGTAATAAGGATCCCTCAATAAAATGTGTTACAGTCATTCACAGATAGCAGTTTCGGTCAATATCAGGGCTTTCCTTTTAAAAAGAAACATCTAAGAAAATTTCTGTTATCAGATTGGAAATTGAGCCCAGTTTCCTAACACTTCATTTCTCCTGACTTAGAATGATTATTGACCTTCCAACTAATGAACTCAAAACCCTGCAATTCCCAAGTCATTCATAGACAGTCACACTCCATTCATCAGCGTATGGTTACCAACGTATAGTAGTGGCCTATAGTAATGCTTCACTGTCATATGTTTGCAGTTTCAACCATTCATAAATATAATATTCAATCCAGAGGAAATCCAAGAAGGTTCACAGTAGAAAAAACAGAAATATCCCATGGAGAAAGAGCTCGTAAACTACAATGGACACGTAGAAAGCTTTGGGGTAATTAGTGTGAATGTGAAAAATTTAGCAAGCTATATAATTATGGTATGTGTAGGGTTTATTTTAAATTATTATACTTCAATTGAAAGTTATAGATTTAATCAATTGATAGAGTATATGTATGCACACACATCTGTGCAATGATCACTATTGCTAGTACCGTACATTTATCTTTAGAGTGGGAATTTAACTCCCTTCTTGTTTAGATACTTTTGATTGAGTTCTCCATTTGTCATGGGTGATATCAAAGTAAACAGCTTAGAAATAAATACACAGACATTAAGAAGATACATACTAATCAATTTCAGGTCTTATAATTCTGAGTCATTTGGATTAGTATTCCTAAAAGTGTAGAGTTCAATAATGGAGGCTCATAGTGCAATGAATTATGTTGCAAATACTGTTACTAAAGATGGCAACATTTAGAAATCTTCCACCAAGATTAATAAAAGTTTTACCATTCAAAGGTGAACTTACTGTTAATTTAAGCTGCACCAATAATGTTGAAAAACAGGCATTGTTGTACTGCCATAAAAGTTGGTTAAGTTGTGCTGAGTGAAGAATTCCATTAAAAGGTTACCACGTTCCCAAATCATTCCATGTGATCAAAGTTTTACATAATATGAAATCACATATGTATTTTGACTATAAAGAGATACTCCATATAGAGTATTTGCACACAAATACAGAAATAGTTACATAATAGTTACATAATATGAAATCACCTATTTTGACTATAAAGAGATACTCCGTATAGAGTATTTGCACACAAATACAGAAATAGTTGATCAGAGCCAGGTATGCTAAAATGAATGTTAGAAACGGAAGAAACATTAGAAATTATTTGATTCTCACACTTTACAGTGTAGAAATTTAGGCACAGAGAGGTTAAACTGACATCTTAAAAACACACAGGTAATGTTATGGCTGATTTGCAACCAGAAATAAAGCATTCCTCATAATGATCTGTTCTCTTCACTTAACCTTGTTATTAAGAGCAGAGTTCTGGAATCAGACCAATTTCAGTTGAGTATTAGGTCATGGACGTGCCTGGTAGGTGTGGTTCTGGGTTCCGGTGACAGATCCTTCCCCGTGAGAAAATATTGTGTGGCATTAATTCAGAGGTACATATGCCAAGGTGTTGCATAGAGAAAATCCTGAGGGCAGCTCCTTAAAACTGAGACAGGAGAAGAACTGGAAGGCTCATTAACCTTTCTCTGCATGAAGGAGATTGAGAGGAGGGGAGACCTTCCCAAAGCTTGCAGCCATCTCAGCATGTGGGCCTGACTACTCATGGGAATTATGCGTTGGTTTTTCCTGTCTGCAAAAGTTCTTTCAGTATGGGGCCCTGCAGAGATGTTTGGTGTGGCATTTGGATGTTATCCTTTCTTTTAATAGCCAATCTAAACATGTTGAGCATGGGTTGTACTCCCAGGTATTGCTAGGTTCTAATGCCATTTGCACCAGACTGTGGCTATCTGCCATCTCATGGGAATAGTAAGAGGACTCACCTTAAAGGTTGTTATGGGAATGAAAAGAAATAATGTATAAAAGCATGTAGTAAGATGCCTGACATACTATAGGCACTTTACAGATGCTGCGTGCAGCTATTGTTACTTGGCTACAACACAACAACAGATTCGGCATTGCTGTCATACAGCAGCCTTGACCACTCACTGTTTGACTTAGACAGGTTTCTCTTTAAAAGTATATTGTTTTAAAATGATGGCTTTGGTGAAAGCCCTAGACAATAGAAAAAAAGCTGAAGACTTATTACCTAGAAATTACATCTCTGACTTAGTTTATAAGAGACATTCTATAGCTGAAATTTTTTCAAGCCTGGGTTGGAAGATGTCAGATCAAACTCCCACTCCATCACGTCATCAAAGGTGTCACTGAGCAAACTGTCGGATCACACTGAGCCTGTGTTTCCACGTCTTCCACAAGGCAGTGGTGTGGGGCGGTCAGAGACTTGTGAGAACAAACTGACCCTGACCCCGCCCCCTTGGCATGTGACTGTTAAAATGAGGTCAATTATATGAGGTCTGACAATTAAGTCCACAAACTCATTCTAGAAAAACTGCATACATTATTGCTGAATATCACTATTGTCACCTTCGAAGTACTCACCTTGGAAAGCTGTGCTCTGATGCCAGCATCTAGGCCACCTTTCAAAGCAGTTTTGAAACTATTTTTTTGGAATGGCCATCAGAGCCATTGTAATACAAGGTCTGACAAGTTCACCACCTCATCCTAGAGAAGGTGCTCCATACTTCATGGCTGGATATCATTATGGTTTCAAGTACTCTCCTTGGCCGTCTGGTGACTGTAATGATATTCAGCAATGAGGCGCATGGTAATTTTTCTGGGATGGTTGATTGTCTGACCTCATAAAATCTACTCATTGGGTGGTTGTAGAGCGCAAATGAGAGTGTATACGTAAAGAGCCAAAAAAGTTGCCTAGAAGAATGCTAAGAAGTGGAGATCTGAAGGACACTGTGTCCACCTCTCTTTTTCCAGCTTTCATCTTGCTGCTGCAAAAGGACACGTGGAATGTCTCAGGGTCATGGTTACACATGGTGTGGACGTGACAGCCCAGGATACTACAGGTATGTGGTTTTTAATCTCTTAAGTTAGCAGGCCAGCAGACAAGTAGATATCACAAAGGTGATGTGTAATCATTGTGGAAAATGCAGAGTCTACAGATAAGCTAGAAGGAAAAAAACCAGTCACCTCCAATGACTGGGCTCTGCCACGGCCTCATCATTTGCACCTTTGTGTTTGCATCTTATCCCGTGTATGTGCTTTCTCAGTGGAGACTCTCTGCTTCTGATCCCCCATTTTTGTATTTTTTTCCCTACGCTTTATGGATGGACCAAGCCATATTCCCTGCTTCCTATTTTTATGAATCATACTCTGTGGTGATGAAGGGGGTGAGTTATTGAGGAGCTGATTTCATCAATTAGCTGAGATGAGTCTTGTGGGAAAAAGCCATGATCTTCGTCTGGACCAGTGCCCATGATTCTCTCTCCCCTTGCACTGCAGCGCATCCGAATCATCTGGGAACTGGGGGTGGAAAGGAGAGAAGGGAAAATGGAAGAATAAACAGTCCACACCCATACACCCATGCTCTATCTGCTGAGATTCAGATTTCTTTTGTCGGGAGGTTGCCTGTCAACTGGTACTTTTTAAAAGCTCCCCAGGTGATCCTAACGTGAAGCCAGTGTTGAAAAATGATGAACTAGACAAATGGAGAGAAAAGGTGGTGGGTTTTTTTTTTTTTTTAAGAGACAGAGTCTCACTTTATTGCCCTTGGTGGAGTGCCGTGGCGTCACACGGCTCACAGCAACCTCCAACTCCTGGGTTTATGCTGTTTTCTTGTCTCAGCCTCCTGAGTAGCTGGGAATACAGGCACCTGCCACAATGCCCAGCTATTTTTTTGTTGTAGTTTTGCTGGGGCTGGGTTCAAACCTGCCACCCTCCATATATGGGGCCGGTGCCCTACCCACTGTGCCACAGGCACCACCTCTGTGGTCTTACTTTTATAAACACTGTCCTATGTGAAGGAGCCTCTGGGGTCTGTAGCCTGGAATTCTGCTCCAGGACCCCACAACCAAAATCCTTTGGCTTCTAATGGGTTTTTGTTAGTTTTCATTAGAATACAAAATCAGCCTAACTCCTTTATTTTAATCTAGGCTTTTCTTTAATCTATAACAGATCCCTCCCTCTACCACTGTCACCAAAAACAAAAAAAAATATTGCCCTTGTCAGAGTAGTCATCTTTGGGGATCAGCAGTCAGGTATTATAAGAATGCTGTTATTACTCAAAATATGGTTGAAAATTGATGTTTCAGGATTGTTCTCAAAGCCTGTGGCTCTTTTTTTTTTTCTTTTTAAAATAATCTCAGTGGTTAGGAATCTTTATTCTTTGATAATATGTTTTTTTAAGGGCAAGCCAAGAACCACTTGAAGTCAGGTAAATGACGTGTCAAACTGGTTAAACCATTGTTGCTTAAAAATAGATAGTGATTGAAGTAACCGAATGATTTTCTCAGCAGTTCCAAAGTATCTTCTAAAAATATTTTGAGAAATGGCAACCCCATTAGAAGAATGAATGATTTCCGTAAGTGACTACCTTGAGGGAAACATTAATGTATGTTGCATTAATCATCTTAAATTTTAAGACCTAGGTATTTTGTTTTTAAAATTTGTTGATGTGACCTTTAAAGTCATGTCATATACAAACGTAGTGCAATATGTTTGGCTCAAGTCCTCCAATGAGAGGTGTGTCTCTTAAGTAGAAGGGGCTTTCTATGAGAGAAAATCATAATCTAGAAGAATTAGCTTAGAGTGACTGTGCGGTCATACAGTCTTGTTTCATTGTACTTGATAGTAAGAAGTAGATTAGACAGAAGTGTAGTCATTTCTATCATAACTAAACATCCTCCTTCGCCTCTTTTTATTATAGGGCAAAATAACTTTAATATATACTTATCAGAAAACTTGGGAAATACAGAAAACTAAAAAGGAAGATAGCAGTATTCCTACTACTATCAGAAAGAAAACCTGTGTGTGGCTGGGCGCCGTGGCTCACACTTGTAATCCCAGCACTCTGGAAGGCCAAGCTGGGTGCATTGCCTGAGTTTGCAAGTTTGAGACCAGCCTGAGCAACAAGAGTGAGACCCTATCTCTAAAAAATGTAGCCAAGTGTTCTCGTGGGGAACTCTGGTCCCATCTGCTTGGGAGGCTCGAGCAAGAGGATTCCTTGAGCCCAAGAGTCTGAGGTTGCTATGAACTATGATGTCACAGCACTCTACCAGGGGCAAGAAAGTGAGGCTCTGTCTCCAAAATATGTGTGCCTGTTTTTGCTCTATTTCCTTCCACGTTTTTCCTAACATAGTTTTTATATGGCTGAAATTACATTATATAATAAATTCTACATCCTACTTTTTATTTATTTAGACAGAATCTAAAACTGTTGCCCTGGGTAGAGTATTGTGGCGTCATAGCTCACAGCAGCCTCCAAGTCTTGGGCTCAAGCTCGTGAGCTCAAGTAATCCACCCACCTTGGCCTCCCAGAGTGTTAGGATTACAGGCATGAGCCATCGTGCCTGGCCTACATCTATTAAGAGCTCTTAAGAAGTATGGTTTTGTTTTGTTTTGTTTTTTTTTTTGGTTCGTTTTTTATGGCCATCCAACTCGAAGTGAGTAGGGCTCATATTTATCAGCAGATTCCCAAGTCAGGTTCTGAGAGCCTGGTGTACTGCTGGGCAGGGAGACCTGGACACCCTGACCCAGTCTCACTTCTTTATGGACTGGGAAGGCACAGCCGTATAAGAAGCAACATTTGGGGTATATCCTGGCTATCTCTCAGGACTGTTCAGGGGGAACTGAATATAGTTCGTGGAGTCCAGATCACTTTGTGGTTGCAAGATACTGTCCAGACCTTTCCAAGTTACTGTCCAAACCTTTCCATGGGTTGAAAAGTTCTCTTCTCACCAAACATTTGTGGCAGTGAGTCCAACACGTTGTTCCTCAGCCTTTATTGTTTTACTTTAGTCTGAATGAAGCTCTAACTTCTTCCCGTGATTTCTTGAAAGCATGTAAAGAGAACATAGGAACAAAAGAAATAAATTGACCTTTATTGCCCATGCCTGTCTCAGCTGTGACTGGAATGCCCATCCACTAACTCTCCCATTCAGGAAGGCTATCTAGATACAAGGGAGAGACAAAGATATTAGAAACTCATCCTTAGTCCAAATCCTTAGTCATCGTGGTTTGGCCATGGATTAAATGGCTTAGCAGCTAGCCTTTATTAAAAGGATTTATTGTATAACATTCAGATTTGGTCAAAAGGCTGCAGTTAATGGATTCAGAATGCCACATGTGGCCCCCAAGGCTTCAGGTTCCCCACTCTGGTAACTTTTAGTGGTGTTGTCTTTTCAGTGAACTTGTCTTTTTTTTTTTTTTTTTTTTTT